TCCTTCGCATTGATTGCTATTTAATGAACCATTTTATGCTTATTTCATTTTTATTTCTATGTATTTGTATTTTAGATTAAATAAGGAAAAATCGATATGTGTCTATTAATATTGCTGGTTTATTCTTATTCATACAGTTTTCTTGTCCTATAATTTTTTTTTTTGGTCAGATGTAATAAAAAAGATATAAATCTTTGCTTTGTACTACCGGTTGAAAAAAAAATAACTCCCAAATATATACTTATACGAATATAAATGTTATCGAAAATTCTCCCTTGTAGAAAAGCGTCAGACTTCGGGTCGTAAATTAGATTCTTGAAAATTCCTAACGATGTAAGAAAATAATTTTAAACGGAGCATGTTAGTTTAATCGGATCAGATATTTGTAAATTTGTATTTTTTGTGAAAGGAGATTCATAAAATTTTATAGTGTTATTTGTATTAAAATCGCTTTAAATGTTAAAAGTCAATTGTCTTAAATAAGCTGTAATAGATAAAGTTTTCTTTTTGATAAACACACATAATATACAAACAATTTCCGCATTCACGGATTGTATCAAAATTATTCCGAAATTATTTTATAATCGAAATAGAAAAAATATTAATATACATATTTTATAATAATCCCTGTGCTAATGTCTTTATAAATAACAAGTCCCAATATTCAGTTTTTTTTACGAAGCATTCCGATTTGTTTTTTTTGTTAATTCCATTGATCGTACTCGTGTTACATATCTTATTATTTTTTTCATTTTTTTAAGCATAAAAAAGTCTAATATCTCAAAAAATTTCACGTGTATTTTACACATTTTTTAAAAAGGTTCCCATTTAAATTTTGTTGAACGGAAAAGAAAGAAAGGTAGGAATAAAGAAGAAATGAAAAAATTGCAAATTCATATTTTAGTTTCTACGTTTGAAAATTTCATTAGTAGAATTTTGAAATTTATTTTCGTTACGAGTGTGATTAATAATTACTCTATTACGAATATCGGTACAATTCACAATAAGACATTTGTAATTTCTCCGAATTTCAGTGCTGCGACTGAGATCCACAATAAGGGTTCCGACTCTTTATATTTCGAAAACTGCAAGCTTCACAAATTTTCACGAAGGCAATAGCTAACGGTAAATGCTATGACATCAAACAAGTAACACATTCTTTCGGAGTGTCAAAATCAGTATTTTTTTTTTAACTGTCAAATGTTTATGTTTTTTGTTGCTAACGAATTTGGGTACTCAAATTTCATAAAAGGAGTTTTTGAAAATGAAGTTCTGCAGTTTTTTAAAAAATATTATATTGGATGAACTCAAATTTAAACAAAAAAATTGAAAACTTGAAAATTTCAAACAACCACTCTGCGTAAATCGCTTGTTACGTGTGATTATTTCTTTCGTAGACTTTTGAGGGTTATTTTAACTACGAACATAATTTATGATTACACTGTTACGAATATTTGTAGTAGGATTTTAGTAATTCAGAATTGAGAATATGAAATTCGTAATTTTCCGATTTTCGAAGCTTTAACTTTCAATTTGGGAATTTTTTTTTGTGGTTTACTTACGTAATATATCAGTGGTCGAAGTGGGATACTCAAAGTGGTGGGTTGGTAAAAAAAAAAAAAGTATTATTTTAGTTATTTTTTAAAAGAATAACTAAACAAAATTTACCAAACTTTGGAAGTAAACTAACGAGAATATTTATATTCAAAATTAAATCAACTAAAAATTGAATCAAAAACTGTGCAAATTGTTACTATGTAGTAACGAAATTTACTATGTAGTAACTATGTAGTAACGAAAATTTCATTAATAGAAAAAAATTATACGTTACTATTTGAAATTGGTTTTATTTAAAATTACATATTTAATATTTTGTTAAACAAATTTTTAAAATTCATTAGAAAATTTTCTTAAATTTTAAAAAACATGTTCCAGAACGCATTTTTCTCTCCTATTAAATAGTAGGATGGATTTCCAATTATTTAAAAGTACTGGGATGGCATCCCACTCCATCCCGCCTCACTTCGAGCACTGAATATATATATATATACTTTTTCAATTTCAAAAAATACACAAATTTTGTAGATTGCAATCAGTTTGCAATCTACATTCAGTCACCTTCTTTTTGAAAGTAAGATGTCTTTGTTTAGTTAAAAAGTTGAGTTGTGATATTTAAAGAAAAAATGCAAAAATTCAAGGCAACTGAAAAAGGATACACCGTTTGTCTACAAAAATAGAAAAGGGAAAATAATTTTTACATTTTTTTTGTTTTTTTTATAAAAATTTATAATTTTTATTACATATATTATTATATAATATTATTATTATAATTTTATTATTATATTATTATTATAATTTTTATTATATATAATATAAATTTATGCATATTATTTAGATATAACATAAATACATATTCATAATGTAATACAAATACTTATAGCAATTCTTTTTTGTTGAATTACTTTTAATATTATTTTCTAAAAAAATTTTTTAAAAATATATCAATTATTGTTACATTTTTTGCAATTTTACTTTGAATAAAAGAAATAAACATGAAATTCACATTAATATAATAATGCTTAATTTTAAAAAAATTATTGTATAAATATACTATCTCTCATTTACGTTAAAACTTTATTCTAAATTAAATGTGTACTATTTTTTAAATAATATATAAAATGGGGTCAAACAATACAATATAAAATTATATAATTATTTTTTATGTATATATTTTTAAAATATGTTAGTGTCTACAATTACTAACTAAAAGTTTTCCAATGAAATATTAATAATCTTTTTATTGTTTTGTAAATATTTTTTTGAATTTTTACTATTTCTCGGTGATTTATTTTCCAGAAATTGAAAAAAAAACAAAAGAAAATTTTATTTACAATACGGTTTTGATTTAACAACAAGAAAAAATTATATTTACATAAATTATTAGTTGGCAAGAGTTTTAAACTTAAATTTTATATTAATAATTGAAAATATTATAAATTTTATTCTTTATGTGTTTTTATCCGTTTTCTTATTTTACTAATATTTTTAATGTCGATTGAATATATTTCTCGTTGAAGCAAATAAATTACACACATTAAAGAATCTTTTCTATTCACAACAGTTATATTTAAATTGCAGTAATAATGGATGTATTATTACACAAACACAATTTAGCAGTCTATCAAATCAAATTTATTTGAATTGCACAGATTTTATAGATTTTTGGGTTCCGTTCATTCTTAGCGGTCACGTATAAACATTTTGGTTTCAAATTTTGGATTCTTCAATATGCCTTTATTTGTAAGAAGCAAGAAAAGAATGTGATGATTTTTTGATGACAAAGTAGTTTCTTGTTATGAATCACATTTTAAAATTAATGGATATTGAAAAATAAAATATTAGCAAACGCAATTTCAATAATACTTTTTGATTTTTATACTTTAGATTTTACAATTATGCTTTGACCGCAATTTTTGATCGCTATGTTAATACATAATAACTGGAAAACTACGAAAACCTGCAGTAAAAAAAAATTGCGGTAAATTTAAAAAGTTAATACAATTTAATGGTCGTAATAAATTATATTGCCATGTAAATGTCAGTAAATATATAAAAAATTAAAAATAAAATTATTTATGTAGTACAATACAACTGAAATTTAAAAAATTTATTATAAAAAATTGTAGTTATGGGTTCATATTTTGTGCGTTTTTTATTTGATTTTATTAATATTTTATAGATAATATGTATATGTATATATGTTTATCATTTATTGGAAAAGAAACGTTTAAAAATAAAAATATTATGTTTCAAAAAAACATTAAAATGTTTTATTTTGTGTATAGCAATAAAATAATTAAATACAAATTGTAGAAAAACATAAAATTATGAACGGTTTATTTTCGAATTTTTTGGATATGTCAGAGTTTTTAGTGTAGCTTTCATTTCATATTTTAGTTATTTAAAGTAGAAAGCAACATAATAAATGAACTACTAGAGAAGGGTAAAGAAAATGGAAATATTGAAATAATGAAAAAACAAAAATTAGTTGTAATTACCCGGGGTAGATTAGTCAAATATATTTCGTAATCCACAAAAGAGAAAATGATTTATTAAAAAGAAAATTGCACTTGTTGAGTTTTTTGAAAACTTTCACGATTTTATGTTTTCCAAAAAATTAATAAAAATGAAAAGCGATGTTTGGATTTTTAAAAACTGTTTCTTCATTAGAAAATTAATGCCATTTACGTTTAATAATCTTTCATTTGAAACGTACCTATATTAAAACTCTTTTTAGCAATAAAAAATAAAGATTCATAGTGGTCAAAATATTGTAGTTAAAAGCTAAATATTTTTTTTTCCAACATACATATATATTTTGTGAGGATATGCGTATGCTTAATTTTAATTTTTTCTTCATTTACTATTTGCATCTTCAGTAATTTCAATAATTTCAAACTGCAATTGCGTAGGCATATAGTCAATTCTATTCAGCAGAGCATTCATGTAAAGATTAATAATATATTGTATTACTTTTGTAACGCACAAGATAAAGTAATCATTATAACTAACACCATTTAATAACAAAAAATTATTTAAATAAAAGTATTGCTTAATCTATTTTAAAATAATTTAAAACGAAATATATAGTGAAATAAAAAGAAAATATTTATGAATGTACATTTGTACATACATACAAAAAAGTTATGTGTTGCAATGTTTTTCGAATTTAGAATTTAATATAATATTTTTAATTGTTAAAATTTTTTTATTTTGTAAATATAAAAATATTTACTTTATCTTTTTTTTTCAATTTATACTAAATTTTGATTTTTCTTTATTTTATATTATATATAATATTTTGTATTTTATGTTACATAGAAGAGAATGCAAACGAATTTCATTCAACACTTATTTAAAAAGAGAAAAATATTTCAAATTATCATTTTTGTAACTAAATATAATAATTACATAACTTTGCCATTAAAAAGTATTAATATATTTAAAAATTAGCCTTAAAATTAAAATTTTAATAATATTTGGATAAGTTTAATAATAGTTCCTTATAATTATTAATAATATAATATTCAATATATTTTTGTATAAATTTTACTACTTATTTTGCATTTTTTTATCTTACTATCTCTTACAGCTTTATTGCAAAACAAAATCTGTAATAATAAAAAACTTTTAAAGATATTTTCTTTTCGGCATTTGTTAATTTACAATTCGAGTTTAAAAGTTTGATTATACATTTATATTTTTTGAATAAATCTATTAAAGTAATAAAGTTTCGCTTTATTCAGTCGATTGGCACTAAAAATTAAAGGCTAAAAATAAGTTATAAAGAACTTCCAATTACGAGTACTTGTCGAAAACTGCGTGGTATATAGTCGTAATATAAGAAAGTAGAAAAGAAAATCATTCTACTCTTTTATGAAAATTATTATTTTTATTTTAAATACTAATGAAATAGAATTCAACTTTTATTATTTTTTGATTGCGAATGTAAATTCCCTAAAGATTTTTTAAAGTATTGATTCGATTTTTGCAATTGATTACAAAGTTAAAATATTTTCAAATATTTAAATAATTCAGTAAGTTCGGGATACTCGATTCACATTTTTAAAGTAGAATAAAAATATTCCTCCTAATGCGGAATTATACACATATGTATATGTATCTAATTTTAATACTTAACTTCTTAGTCTTAAAATTTGAAGGTAATTGTCACTTTTATGGTAGTTTCAAATTTATAACTTCTTAGATTATTTCTCATTTTGTGTTCCGATATTTTTAATAGGTATAACTTTCTGTACGATTACTGTATGCAACGTGTGTTTCGTATTTCGTAAATTATATAAAATTTTAAAGATTACAAAGTGTACTTTGACTGAATAAGTATGATATAATACTAAAGTACTTACATATAAGAATTACTCATGCATCAGCTTACGATATACTGATTCATATACGCATAAAAAATTATTCATGTGCATAATACATACTTATATACACATTTTTAAATAAGAAGGCCGAAATCAGTAAAATTTATTGCGTTTTTTGCGACAATAATATGTGGGGTTTCGTTTTTCAACTTCGAGTTTTTAAATTTTGTCCTTGTTTTTTTAGTGCGTTTTCCATATGATTTAATGGAAAACAATAAAGACTAGACCTCTGTGCCATCTTCATCTTCATCTTGAAAAAGTTGACTTGTGCTGCCACCATGTCCTGTTGATGTAACTGCAATTTTCTTTTTGGGTTTTGGCGGTGGTCGTGGTGGAATTTTGGCCGATTTTGTTGCATTTTGGTACCCATTGTTGATTGATGGCACTATTGTTAATCCACTATTACTTTTGGCTGTGCCATATAATGGTTCTGTATCAGATGTATTTGTTAAATTTGAGAGTTCATGTATTGGTTCATATAATTTGGAAGTAGATTGTGGGACAAAGTTACTGCTGTTATTAAGCAGAGAATTGTTATTATTGTTATTATTATTTTTATTATTATTATTACTATTGCTATTGTTGTTGTTATTATTACTATTGCTATTATTGTTATTATTACTTATACTTTTGTTAAAATTATGATTAACGGCACCATTATTACTAGTATCGGCTTTATTGAATTTAAGGCCACTATTACTATTACTAACGACGTTAATTGTTACGCCAAAGTTGGTATTAGCACATTCATTGTTAATTGTATTTGGTGTTGCCGGTAATGGTCGATCTTTCATTGTGTACCGTGGTGACATAACTTTATTGCTATTAGCGTTTGTAGTACCAATTTTATGTAAACTAAGCATTGAATTACCACCAGCTGTGGTACGTAACCCTAAATTATCATAAACTGGTTCAGTCAATGATGCTTCTGACATATCTGTTCCAGCTATACTTGGATTTTGCGTGATTGATGCAGGTTGAAATTCTGATAACGGTGAAGTGACGGATGGTGTCCAACTTGGTACACGAGGTTTACGTGGTATTGTCATATAGCCTTGTTTCATTATGATAGGTGGATAAACAACTGGAGCAGGGATAAATGGCGACTCGTTATTGCGATTAGTATTAGAGGTGTTAGCAGTTACAATTGTGAAATTTCGATTTTTAGGATATTGTAATGTGCGAAACTGTGTTTGAGCTGTTCCGTATATTCCATTACTAGCAGGTAAAGATGATGATGTCGATGGTAAGGAACAACTTGGTAGAACATGTTGATAAACTGGACTGGATAATGGAGATTTCCTGTAAGTTGGGCGGTTATCAGTAGGAATATTTGATATAGAGCTTTGTAAGGATGGTGATTGTGGAACACGTTGGGCTGAAAATGATAATAAATCAGGCGGTAAATTTGCGCCACAGCCGTCATCAACATATGTAGCACGGGAGCGTGGTGTTGTATCTGATAAAGTAACTGAATTTGTTTCTTCATCGTGACTTGCTGAAAAATAAGAAAATTAAAAACATTTTAAAATACATATAGATAACACAAACTGAATTTAAATATTGATCTTTTAAATGTATACGTATGGACTGTATCCTTTCATAATATTATCATAGAATATTTTTTATTTTTAATGAATTTTTTTTTTATTTTGAATTGCTATAAGTATTTGTTGTACGCTTTATTGTACGCTGAGCGAATTATTATATTTTCATTATAATTTATTTTTTCCATTAATTTAATTTTTCCATTATTTTATACTTTTTATTTTGTATTATAAGCAAGGCCGATTTTACCATTTATTCAAACTAAGCATTTGCAGAAAAGCAAAGACGCTTTTGAAAATTTCAAAAATTGAAAATTAAAAAAAAACCTAAATTAAAAAAAATTTATTTTTAAAATAAAATAAATTTTTTTATTTTTTTCCAATATTTGTTTTATAAAATCTTTTTTTCTTTCAATTTGAAGCGAAATTAACTTGATAACATTTACGTTATATGTAAGTATACTTTATATTTTGTACATTATACTCGTATTTTGTTCCTAACAATATAAAAAAATCTGATGTGGTCAGCACATAAGCGACCGCATTATATATTGTCTAGTTGAATGAAAGTGTAACAGAATATTATAAAAATGTCTGTTAAATACTTCTTTCCAATTTTTAGGACTTTAGTAAGCTTAGTTTCGGTAACAACCAGAACTCAAATATCAAATTTCATGAAATTCCATCAATTGATTCCGTAGATATGGTGAAAAATGTAAAATCGCCCGCAGATCAGTTTTCGAGCCCTGATCTTTCCAAAAAATTTACATGTTCATTGCTTTAATATGAGGAATTCATATATTAAATTTCAATGAAATTGGTTGATTATTTCTCTTTGTATACACAAAAATGTATATTTGGCCCGTAGTAAAGGTCTAGTTGCCGATGCCTGATTTCTTCCAAAACATAGGAATTTTCGCGGACGATCGAGTTGAGCTTATATATAAAATTTCAAGTAAATCGGTTGAATATTTTCTTCAAAATGATCAAAAATGTAAAACAGGCCGGCTAAAAAGTGCAGTTCCCGAGGCCTGATATATACCAAAACTTGATCAATCCGTGCCATGGTGGAAATAAGCTTACATATAAAATTTCATCAAAATCGGTTTAGCAGAACTTGAGATACACGCGTGCACACACAGACCGACAGGTTGCTGAAAATAGTTTATTTACACTTCCCTACTATAGAGAAGTACGTTCCCACCGAAAACTCGATATGCAAAATTTGTTGCCATAACATAACCTACGGTCGGTAAAAGTGTGCATGAAAACAAACTCAATTACACAAAAAATTATGGCATTAATCTCTAAATAAGAGAAATTAAAATTGTTCATACATTTTGTTACTACACAATACCTTTTCATTCATAATATGAATGGACTAAATGTTTTTGGAATTATATGAATCAATCAGAATATGTAATTCTTATTATTAATTATTACTTTCATTAGTATGTATGTATATACTTACATATATATTATTATTTCGCACATCTGAATAAATTTAATGGTACATAATATACATAAGTTAAATCATTCAATATATATATGTATATAAGATTGTTATATAGTTTATCCATCATATTAAACAATATAAGTTATATATATATAACTTATATTGTTTAATATGTATAGGAACACAGTGAAGTCAAAAACTTCAAGTAAATCTCTTTCTTTGTTTTAAGCAAATTGAATAAGTCCAAGTCAAATTGAATAATGCCAATTAAATGTCAATTTCAAAGTGTTGAAAAAAGACTATTGTTTAATGAAAACTTATAAAAACGAGAAAAAACCGTGTCAACTCTGTGATACCCGTGCGAATTTGTTATCCTATGTGCGAATAAATATACCATAACTGACTATGGAACAGACTATGACTTTAAGTTGCCGTATTACCATATTAATTTATGCAAAATTTCAGTATTGTGCTTTTCAAAAAACTGTGTGTGCCAAACTACTATTGAAGTTGTATGGCAGCTACCAAAAAGAGCCAAGCAATTTTAGCAAATTTTTTCAAACACATCGGCCCTACTAATATATTCGTTTGTCTGAAATATCAATACTATAGCTTTTATACTTTCTGAGATAAAGCCAACTAACTTTTGAACTTGTATGGCAGCTTCTGGCAACCAGAAGGAGCCAAGTAATTTTAACGACTTTTATCAGACAAATTGGCCCTACTAACATGTTCGTTTGTGTGAAATTTCAATACCGTAGCTTTAATAGTTTCTGAGATATAGCCATATAACATTTGAAGTTGAGAAGGAGAAAAGTAATTTCAAAGACTTTTATCAGACACATTAGCCCTACTAATATATTCGTTTGTTTTCGTTGAAATTTCAATTTTACAGCTTTTATAGTTTCTGAGATATAGCCAAATAAATTTTGAAGTTGTATGGCAGCTACCCGAACCAGTACCGCGATCATGTGTAATTCAAATAGGGTTCTGCCACTTATTACAATAAATCATTTGGGAAAATTTGGTGAACTTAGCTCAATTAGTTTTTGAATTATCGCTGGGACAGACGGACAGACCGACAAAGCTAAATCAACTCAGAATTCGACGCTGATTAAAAACATACACTTGAGTCTATATCTCGGAGCATTATTTCTTAGCGTTACAAACGGTAAGGCAAATTTAGTATACCCTTCGAACATACGTTCGTACGGGTATAAAAACACATAGTAAATCGAAAAGAGCAGAAGTTTTTGGTTCAAATGTTGGCATATAGTTTCAAATTGTTAATAGATGAAAATAAATAGATGTTTAACATTTAATAAATGTTTAGAACAAATAGATGTTTTCAAAATAAGATTTTTAAAATTTTAAAATCTTACATACAAAAATATCCTACAAAATTAAGGTTTTGTAATGCTAATGAATTTTATTTAGAATTTGAAGTTTTTACATTTTTCTCAAAACTGGAACATTTTGACCAAAAGGTCAATTTATTAGGCAACTGTAACATTTATTATATATTAATCGACTTAGCGCATTTAATAAATTAAATACGCTTACGTCTGATTTGGTTCGAATTGAAATCGTTGTATTTTTGCTTCCTACCTTATAAATTGAATTTTATTTGAAGATCGCGAAGGGTTCGTGAAGATTTTTTTATACCCGTACGAACGTATGTTCGAAGGGTATACTAAATTTGCCTTACCGTTTGTAACGTTAAGAAATAACGGCGTTAGATATAGACTCAAGTGTACGTTTTTGATCAGCGTCAAATTCTGAGTTGATTTAGCTTTGTCTGTCCGTCCGTCCGTCCGTCCGTCCGCCCGTCCGTCCGTCCGTCCGTCCCAACGATAACTCAAAAACTAATTGAGCTAAGTTCACCAAATTTTCACAAATGATTTATTGTAGTAAGTGCCAGAACCCTATTTAAATTGGATATGATCGGGGTACCGGTTCGGGTAGCTGCCATACAACTTCAAAATTTATTTGGCTATATCTCAGAAACTATAAAAGCTGTGATATTGAGATTTCACACAAACGAATATATTAGTAGGGCCGATGTGTCTCATAAAAGTCGTTGAAATTACTTGGCTCCTTCTGGTACCTGCCATACAACTTCAAAAGTTATTTGACTATATCTCAGAAACTATAAAAGCTGTGATATTGAGATTTCACACAAGTGAGTATATTAGTAGGGCCGATGTGCTTGATAAAATTCGCTAAAATTTCTTGGCTCTTTCTGGTAGCTGCCATACAACTTCAATAGTACTAAAATTTTGTATAAATTAATATGGTAATACGGCGACTTAAAGTCATAGTCTGCCCCATAGTTAGTTATGGCACATTAGTTATTCGCACATAGGATAACAAATTCGTACGGGTATCACAGAGTTGACAAGGTCAACTCTATTTTTTTTCTCGTTTTTATCAAATTTTATTTTAAATAAAGTTTGGTCAAACCAATGGCTTGTAGTGTAGCATTTTTCCATTAAAAAGTGAAAATACTGCTTTTATAAACAATCTATGTATACCTCCTACACTATTAAAGTAACTATCATTGATATACGAAACTATTTCAAGGATTGCATAAATTTAGGATGAACGATTCATGCAGTCTTTAAAATTAAGCAAAAATAAGTTTAATATAATTAATGTTAATATAATGCCCGATTTTAAGGGTTAATTGCGTGAGTTAAGAAAAATAATTATATTTTTTAATGTCATGGAATTTACCGTTAGCTTTTGCGTTTACAGGAATTTGTAAAAACTTCCGGTTTCCGAAATATAAAGCGTCAAAAATTCAAATTTCGCAAATTTCGGGAAACGATAACTTGAGAGGGTGTAAAGATGGAACAAAATTTTCTTCCAACGAAATAAACTATTTGTTTTTGTCTAAAAGCTGCTAAAACTTCAGGCTCCTACAACTTGGAGTCTAGAAGAAAAACGAGATCAAAAATTTAGAAAAAACCGATTTTAGATAACTGTAAATTTCGACGGCCATTTTGTTTTTTTAAAGTTTAGTTATAGTATGCTCCGATAGGAGAAGCAAGCCACTACCTTTGCGTTTGCAAAATTTGAAAAATGCTTATATTTTCACTGTAACAAATGAGGGGAGAGATAGGTAAAAATTTTGTTCCACAGAAATAAGTTTCTAGTAAAGATCTATGTACATATTAAATTTTAGTTTTCTATCTTCAAGGGCGTAGAAGTTTTGTAAACATGTCCACGGATGGACGGACGGACGGACGGACAGAATGAAACTAATATGCAATTTTTTTAAAAAATTTTTTGGAAAAGAGCTAAAAAGTATTGACGAAAAATACAAATCAAACGAGAAAACGAACGAAAATTAAAACGAAAAATTCAAATTAAAGAAAAAAAATATGTTTTATTTGTTTTACTTTTTTCATTTCGTTTCTTTCTTTTGTTTAAACTCCCACTTTAACTGTGTTGTAAGCTTGAAAATTTGTTGTTTTCTTATCTTTAACTTTC